TCTATCTATCTATCTATCTATCTATCTATCTATCTATCTATCTATCTTTCTTTGGTTATTCGGGTTTTCTCCCATGTAAGATTGGAAGTATCTAGGCAACGTTTTGGTGAAGTCTCATTCATCATCTTCAGGCTTGTGTCTTCAGCTCTGTGCTTCTCACAAAAACCCGAATAACCAAAGATCCACATACTAATACCCGCGAGAACCTCAGAAAACAAATATACATACATACATACCTACACGCGCTATCTCATGGGTCTCCGAATTTGGCAACTTGAAGACTTCAACTCCCAGAATTCCTCAGCCAGCCATGTTGGCTGAGGAATTCTGGGAGTTAAAGTCCACAAGTCTTCCAAGTTGCCAGGTTTAGAGACCCCTGCATTACCTTGAGTAGGTATGAGAGAACTGGGTTTCTCCCAAGCTTGAGGTGATGGGTAGCAAAGGTCAAGATCCAGCATCCATCACCTTTGGCAACGCTGGCTGGGTTTATGAACATGGAAAGGCCTATAAATCCAACCCACCCACTTCAAAAATAAAAGTCCCACCGAGCTCCTTGCAAATGTTTACTTGAAAGTAGCTTCAACCTCACCCCCCACCTACCTACCTAGGGATAGGCTCAGGGAGGGCGAAAAAGGCCGCCTGGACGTTCGGGAAGGCTGGAAATAGGCCTGTTTCCGGCCTCCAGAGCCCGGGGAGGCCATTTTCACCCTCCCAGAGGTTTGAGAAAAGCCTCTGGAGTCTGGGAAAGGCAAATATGCCCCCCCCCCCAGTGCAGGAGGCCAACTAGGCCACACCCACCACATCCATGTCCACCCAGCAACGGGGCAGAGGAACCCCTTGCTAAAAAACTTTTTGAATCCCACCCCTGTTGTACCTACCCCCTTAACAGCCTGCCTGTAACAAGGCTGTGAAAACTCTGGTTTTTCCTTCTGGAGTCTTTTCAATCAAGGTGCACACAAGTACGGAATTATTGATATAGATATTATTATTATTTTTTTCTCCTCTCCAAAATAGTAGATCTGGTTACACAAGCAATGAAAGTCTCCAAAAGAGTTGGGCTAAGGGGGTTAAGGGCAGAGTATCTAGCAGCTTGGCGGCGAGAAAGATAAACCGAGAAGAAGAATTGGGACCGTCCCTCCGGACATGGAGGATGGGTTAATTTACAAGCCATTTTTAAAATCTGAAGGGGAGGGCAGCGTTTCACATTCTGTTTCGTTAGCGGGCTTGCCTTTCTGACATGTGTTAGGGAGCATGTGTGAAGAGTGCAAGCGATGGGCCAGGATACCCCGGCTCTAGGGCAACCGAGATGAGCGGGCTCGTCTCTCCTCAAGAGCTTGTTCTGACTAGGATGCCTCCTTCCTCCGCCTAGTAAACGTGTACCATGCCATAGAGGAAAGTCCAGAAGAGAATATATGTGAATAAGCCCCCGATCAGTCCTCCGGTAAAGAGAGGCCTTCGGGATTTAAAATATTTGCTCCATCGCCGTCCGGCTTTCAGCACCAGAAGCACCGAGAGTAAGACGGACGCCAGGAAGTAGAAGATGAAGCCGTAGAGGCCGTTGAGGCCGAGAATGCCGGCGGTGGCTCCCGAGAGAGCGGAGACGGACGTCCTGCAATAATCCAGGATGGCTGCATTTCCCCGGACAGCCGCTTCGCTGATGAACTGGGGGCCTTCGCGTTTGGCCACCACTGCGGCCATGGCTTCTTCGGCAGGGAGCGGTGGGTGGGGCAGCTCTCTCCTTTCAGGACTTTCTGCAAGGGAAAAATGGAAATCATTCAGATATTTTTACAATACTAGACAACACAGTATCAACGGTAGAGACCTTCACATTTCTAGGCTCTTATCATATCACAAGATCTAAAATGGACACCTAACATCCCAAAACGTCATCAAAAAAGCACAACAAAGAATGTTCTTTCTGTACCAACTCAGGAAGCTCAAACTGCCCAAAAGGAACAGCTGATCCAGTTCTACAGAGGAAGGATGGAGTCTTGTCATCTGCACCTCTAGAACTGTCTGGTTCGGTTCTGCAACCCAACAGGACAGACACAGACTCCAGAGAGGAATTAGGTCTGCAGAGAAAACAATTAGTACCAACCTGCCTTCCGTGGAAGACATGTCTACTGCACGAGTCAAAAAGAGGGCTGTGAAAATATCTACAGACCCCTCACATCCTGTTTCAGCTCCTTCCCTCAAAACGATGCTATAGGGCACTGCACACCAGAACTAGACACAAGAACAGTTTTTTTTTCCAAAAAGCCATCCTTCTGCTAAACAAATAATTCCCTTAACACCGTCCAACTATTACAAAGTCTGCATTGCTATTACTATTACCGTGTTTCTCATATAATAAGGCCGGGTCTTATTTTTTTTTTTTGAGCCCCGAAAATATGGCTAGGTCGTCTTTTCGGGGGTGACTTAATTCCCCCCCCTTGCATCTTCGGGTAGGCGGGCGGCGACAGCTTGGATGTTGACCTCGGCGTTGGTGGGGTACTTCGTATCGGGGTCAACACAGGCAGCACCATATCCGGGTGTGCAACAAAAGTACTTCCTAATGGCAAGCCTCCCCATTTCCCCCCCATTTCGCATGTTTTAATATAGGCTTTAATTTGGGAGGAGGGGCTTAATTTCATTTCATGCCTGTAAAACATGCTTGGACTTCCTATTGGGGGAGGCTGTATTGTTGGAGAAACAGGGTAATCTTCACGTCACTCCTTATCACCCATCCCCTCCCACTTGTGACTGTATGACTGTAACTTTGTCGCTTGTATCCTTACAATTTATATTGACTGTTTCCTGGTATGATTTGATTACTTATTGTACCCTATGACTATTATTAACTGTTGTACCTGATGATTCTTGACTCTTGACAAATGTATCTTTTTTTTTAAGGTACACTGAAAGCATTTGCATCAAGACAAATTCCTTAAATGTCCAATCACACTTGGCCAATAAAGAATTCTATTCTATTCTTATATCCAGATTTGTTTCTTGGAAATCTAAGAGACCGTCCTTCCAGAGAGCCAGGTTAACAAATGAGAAACAGATTTTACTGATCTATTAAAGAGATCAAGGTGACAAACATATCTAACACACCGTTTTCCTGTTTTCCCTGCAACCACAACCCTAGGTTGGTCTAACAGAGTGTGACTGGCCCAAGGTTACCCAGCTAACTTTAATGCTTTTAAGGAGGGACTACAACTCACTGTGTCCTGGTGATTGGCCCAAAGTCATGCAACCATCATTCATGGCTAAGGCTGGACTAGAACTCACCATCTCCCACTTCGTAGCCTGGTGTTTTAAGCACTAGACCAAAGTAGCTCTCAAATTAATAAGAAACACAGCCCTACGATGAATAGCAAGCCACTTAAAAGAACTCACCTGTACAAGAACATGTGAATTTGTTTCTGAAGTAAAAAAAATGACCTCTTTTGAAGTAGGAGACACAATTGTAAATAAAACAGGAAGGAGAAGAAATATTTGAGCTGCTTCAAGCTCAGTGAAAGACAAATTATATATTCATTCAATTTTAAAAACCACCCCTCTCAGCCAAGTGACTCTGGGAGGTTTACACTTCTAAAACCACAGAACAGTTAAAATGATGAAAACCATCCAGAGAATATGACCAATAACCCAATATTGAACAAAAAGATTTAAACTTGATTTCTTTATCAGGAGAGAAATATTTTATGGGGTTTTGAAGGAAACTGGATTTTTTAAAAATTTCTATCTCATGGCACCCTGAATAATTATTTTGTGCTGTGTTTCTACCCAAAAGTCAGTTTTAGAAGTTCAGGGCTGAGCCATTCTTTACACAGTAGTGTTTTCTATGTTGTCTGCTATACCTACCAAACCCTTTTTGACTGAAACAAGAACAAACAACAAGGCTATAAGATACCAGGGCCTGTCCATACACTTTATGAACAGATTAGATTATGAACCAGGGAGACAATGTCCTTTTGTGAACCTTTTGTCTTTACTCTTTTGCAAAACAATATTCTATATGCCAGCAATATTCCTTCCTCTTACAACAGTGAAAAGACTACAAGTAATCCTTGATTTATCGCAGTTCATTTACTGACCGTTCAAAGTTACAACGGCACTAAAAAAATTTGACTTATGACCATTTTGCACACTTACGACCATTGTAGCATCCCCATGGTGTGATCAAAATTCAGATGCTTGGCAATTGGTTCATATTTATGACCGCTGCTGTACCCTAAGATCATGTGGTCCCCCTTTTGCGACCTTCTGACAAACAAAATCAACGGGAAGGAAGCCAGATTCACTCAGCAACCGGGGTGCTAACTTAAAAGTTCCAGGGATTCACTGAACAATTGTGGCAAGAAAAGTTGTACAATGGGGTAAAACTCACTTAACAAATGTCTCACTTAACGACAGAAATATGGGGCTCAGTTGTAGTCGTAAGTCGAGGACTACCTATGTACACATTTTGCCTAATTACTCAACTCTGGCACTTAGACAACCATCCTGACATTAGGCAGTTAATGAAAACATCGTGCTTTCAGTCCCAAAGGTGCTTTTTAAAAGAGGCAACTGGACTTTCTGGTTTTTCTTTGAAGACATTTCAATTCTCATCCAAAAAGCTTCTTCAGCTTCTTCATTCAGACAATCCCCACCATCCAGGTCAGAGCTGAAGAAGCTTCTTGGATGAGAAGTGAAAAGTCTTCAAAGAAAAACCAGAAAGTCCTGTTGCCTCTTGAAAAAAGCACATTTGGGACAACCCAAGATCTGGATGACTGAGAATCCCCATAGATATGCTTTCAGCTGAAAAGCTACAGCTACCATTTAAAAGGATTGGTTCAATCGATGTCCTAATATTATGGTTCCTGTTTGCTTTAATTTAGGATGGACTGCGGTAACATAACAGGTTCTGAGTGGGACTTTATGTCATCCTTCTAACTACAGTAGAGAACAGATGAAGCAACCGATTCCCTCATGTCACTCCTGTGGTGCAAAAAAACAGGTAGTCCTTGGCTTACAGCCATTCATTTAGTGAATGTCCAAAGTTACAACAGCACAAAGTGGCTTACGACTGCTTTTCACATTTACAACTGTTGCAACAGCCCCGTGGCTCACGTGATCAAAATTCAGGTGCTTGGCAACTGGCATGTATTTATGACAGTTGCAGTGTCCCGGAGTCTTGCAATGCCCTTTTGGGACCTTGTGACAAGCAAAGTCAGATGAAGCCAGTTGTTAAGTGAAACAATTGTGTTACCAACTTAACAGCACTGATTCACTTAAGCAAGAATAGATGTGATGACCCGGGGCGTGGCAGGGAGGCAACACAGCCAGAGAACAGGTATGAGTCCCTTTATTTGCTCCAACAACAGCCTGTTTACTCTCCAGCTGGGAGAAAAGCTCTCCCACGAACCTGCAACAGCCTCTGGCTGCAGATACACCAGTCCAAACACTGCAAGCAGAATGACTGCAATCACCCCAGCAGAACAAGATAGCGAAGAATCACCTCAATAATTCCAGCAAGGCCAGACAAGCACGGCAATAATTCAAACAGCCAGGAGGAATGCCAGGAATGTAGGCCACAACTCCCAACACTAGATGAATTCAGCGTTCGTTCCCGACAAACGCCCCTCCCAACTGCCTCTCCTTTAAACTCCACCCTCAGGTGTGCCTTGTGAAGGGTATGGGGGTGGGGGCTTTCCTTCCTTGTAAGTCACACAACCCACATTGCTTTCTTCTGCGCGCCCTAGAATGAAGAGGGGGCAGGCCTTGGTCTTCCTCTGAACCCCTCTCCCCTGTTCTACCTCTCCCATGCTGTGCCCAGCCTGACTCTGCCCTTCCCCAGTTTTCTACACAGCCAACAGAGTCACTCTCCTGCTCTTTTGTCAGCTGTTTGTCCCCCCCCTCAGATTCAGACTCCGATGGGGGCATGACAATAGAGTAAAAGAGTTGGAAGGGACCACCTTGGGTTCAAATTGTGGTCGTAAGTTGAAGGATACCTGTAATGGGGCTTAAAATCCAGGGGATAGGCGAACTTCTGTCTCACTGTACGTTTTTCAGGTAGTTGCCCTCTCTCTTTTGATTTAGCTTCTAACTGGCCGTTACTTTCAGTAACAAACAAAAATAAAAAAGATAAATCAATACAGGTAACCCGCAACTTACAACCACTGTTTATAAGAGCCTAATCTTCCCTTATGGTCCAGACACTTTCTCTGGTTTTGTGTGGTCATACAGCACATAAACTACTAGGGGGTGCTGACAAATTTATTTATTTGTCAGATCCCAACAGTGCTGCTGACAGGTGGAAGTTCAACAGGGCTGCTTCATGCCAACTCAATGCAGTCTCAGGTATTCCTTATACAAGTAGTCCACAAGGTACAGCAGTTCACTTAGCGACCATTTCAAATTACAACGGCACTGCAAAAAATGACTTATGACCAATATGCTGCATCTCCATGGCTACGAGATTTATACTTGTGCTGTTTGGCAGCTTATTCATATTTACGGCGGTCACAGTGTCCCAGGGTCATATGATCCCCTTTTGCGACTTTCAGATAAGCAAAGTCAATAGGGAAGCCAAATTCATTTAACAACTGAGTTACTAATTTACTGTTAGCCTCCAAGTATCCTTCTTCTGCTTGTCTTTTCTGGCTGCCATAGATGGAATCCTAAGTTGCATTAACAGAGGGATACAATCGAGATCAAGTGAGGTACTAATACCACTCTGTAAAGCCTTAGTAAGACCACACCTAGAGTCCTGCATCCAGTTTTGGTCACCACATTATAAAAAAGATGTTGAGGCTCTAGAAAAAGTGCAGAGTAGAGCAACCAGGATGATGAGGGGACTGGAGGCTAAAACATACGATGAATGGTTGCAGGAACTGTGCATGGCTAGCCTAGGGAAGAGAAGGATCAGGGGAGACAGGATAGCATCTTCCAATATTTGAGGGGCTGCCACAGAGAGGAAGGGGGGTGTCAAACTATTTTCCACAGCACCCAAAGGCCAGACAAGGAATAATGGATGGAAACTGAACAAGGAGAGATTCAACCTGGAAATAAGGAGAAATTTTCTGACAGGGAGAACAATCAACCCATGGAACAGAAGTTGCCTTCAGAAGTTGTGGGAGCTTCATCACTTGAGACTTTCAAGAAGAGACTGGACTGCCACCTGTCAGCAATGGTGTAGTCTCTCTTGCTTGGGCAGGGGGTTGGACTAGATGATCTACAAGGTCCCTTCCGACTCTGATTATCTGTTATCTGTAAACGGGAGGGCCTCGTGGGGGGAAGGGTGCTGGAGGATGAAGCTGGTGAATTGTAAAAGTTGGGATAGTTTCTTGATTATGCTTACTGTGCAGATGTAGCCTCTTATCTGTTCAGGCCAAGGTCAACCGTCTTTGCATACCAGATGTGTGAAACGCCACATGAAGATGCGCCCACACGACATTATACACATCTCAGATTGGATGGCCAGTTTGAACTATTGGGGGTGGGAATACAGGGTAACTTTCTATATGTGATTTTTGTGCCTATTGCCTCAGATCTTGTATTTCTTCTGATGCTGCCGCTTCAATTTTCAATAAAAGTCCTTTTCTCTATAACAATGGAGTCTAAGGTTTTCTTTCTTGGATTTTGAATGGAGCTTCACCTGACATTTACCAACTGCAGTGATTCACTTCATCACGGTGGCAGGAAAGGTTGTAAAACGGGCCAGAACTCACTTAACAATGATCTCACCCCCCAACAGAAATTTTGGTTGTGGCCGTAAGTTGAGGACTACCTGTATTGCAAATGGTGATCAACTGACACTGCAACCTTCATAAATACATGCTGATTGTCCACTGCCCAAATTCTGATCATGTGACAGCAGGAAGGCTGCGATGAATCAATAAGTGTGAGGACTGATTATAAGTCACTTTTTTCAGTGCCATCATAACATTGAGCGGTCATTGAACAAATGGTTGTATGTCGAGTCTCTCTTGCTTACCCAAGATCGTCTCTCCAAAGACAGATTCACTTAACAACCATGTGACTCACTTAGCAACTGCAGGGATTCGCTTAATAACAGTGGCAACAACGGTTGTAAAATGGAGCAAAACTCACTTAAACTGCCTCACTTAACGACATACATTCTGGGCTCCATTGGGGACGTAAGTTGAGGAGTACCCGTCCAGTAGCAGAAAATGCAAAGGGTACATTAAATATCTTATTTAAAGGCAGAAAAGGCACACACCCCACTTTAAGGCCCCTGTAGTGACGTCACACACGTGAGAAAGTTCTCAGCAACGACCTCAAAAAACCGACCCTCTTCATAGAAATTTTAAAAATACCAGGCAAGTTTCTTAAGTCTCTTTTTCCCTACCGACTTAAACCCAAAGCCCCTCTTACCTCGCTAATGTATTTTTCTCCCCTCAGCTGTCGCCCAACCACTTTCGCCTCCTCCGACCTCACCGCAAAGAGGAAGCTGCCGCCATCTTGGAACAGAAAAGGATTCTGGGAGCGACGGCGTTCCCACGCACGCACACGACGTCGCCACCAGACGTCGCTCCTTCCCCGCGCGTCTTCCATAGAGCGAGCTTGGGCGGGACCCTTCGGGCAAAAAAGGCCGCTTGAGGGCAGGGAGGCCATAGAGACGGAGAGGCCTAGAGCGCCCCTCCGCCCGGCCGGATTTTTCCTCCCCCTTGGTGAAATGGTGGACAACGTCCCTACGGAAGAGCCTTCGGCCCCGCCCACGCGGTAAGCCCCGCCCACGCGGTAAACCCCCTTCCCTCCGAGGGAATCACGAGAAGGGGGGGCGTGGCCAGCGGAAAGGCCAGCGAGAGGAGGGGCGGGGCCTGACAGGGCGGTGGGCGTGACCGCGAGGAAGGGAGGGGGCGGAGCCTCGCCCGCCCGCTCCCTCCGCTTTTGTTCCGCCCGAGGCGAAGCGACGGGAGCGGCTTCAGCGGTGATTCCCGGAGCCCCCTCGAATCCGGAGCCATGTCCTACATCCCGGGCCAGCCCGTCACTGCCGTGGTGGTAGGCCAACCCTTCCCCCCCCCCCCGCCCTTTTCCTGGTCGGACTACAAAACCCATCCTCCGCGGCCTGCGTCCCCCCACGGAGGGGATGTTGGGCATCGGAGTCCAAGGGGTTGCGTGTGGCGGGGGGGAGTGGGTCGGGGCAGAGGTGTGGGTGGGGGAGTGGGTGGGAGGGACGGATCCCTTGTTTGCCTCCCTCCCGCCCCCCGCGAGTCCGTTCCCACGACCTGCAGACGCGTGTCAGCCTGTCTGGCGCGCGGGAGGGGCCCAGGCGTGTTGGGGGGGGGGGGGGAGGGTCTCGCGTGGGCAGGCGAGGGGACCGGGAAGGGTAAAGGAGCCCCTTCCCCCCCCCCGCCCGGGGATGGGGTACACCCTCCCCCCGCGACCCCCCAGAGGACGCCGGTTCTCACGCTCGGGAAGTTTTCTCTTTTTGGGGGGGGGGATTTAGTCCTCATCGCCTGCCAGCCTTGGTGGAGTTGGAAGTCCGGCTTTGCGTCGGAAAGCAACGCTGAGAAAGTCCGCTCCGAGCCCGGGAGGGGTGGGCTGGCGGGGCGTTTTCCCTCCCTCTTAGGGGGCTGCAACTTTCCCCCTTTCTTTATGGGGGGGAGGGGGCTTCCTTCCTTCTTCCCCCCCCTTTCTTCTTCCTTCCTTTCCTCCCGTTCTCCTTCCCTTTCGCCTCCTCCCCCTTCCTTTCTCCTGTTCCTCCTTCCTCCCTTCCTCCTCCCTTCTCCTTTTACTCCCTCCTTTTCTCAAGCTTTCCTCCTGTTCCCCTTCCTTTCTCCCCCTCTCTCCCTTCCATTCTTCTTCCTCCTTTCCTCCTTCTATTCTTCTTTTCTCCTCCCTTTCTTGCTCCCTCCCTTCCTCCTTTTCTTTCCTTCCTTTCCTTCTTTTTTCCTTCCTCCCTTCTTTTCTCCTTCCCTCCCTCTCTCCCTTCCATTCTCCTTCCTTTCTCCTGTTCTCCTTTCCTCCTCCTTTCATTCTTCCTTTGTCCTATTCTCCTTCCTTCCTTTTGTTTTCATTCCTCCCTCCTTTTCTCCTTCCCTCCCTCTCTCCCTTCCATTCCCTTTCTTCTGATCTCCTTCCTTCCTCCCCTTCTCTTTCCTTCCTCGCTCTCTTCCTCCTTTTCTCCTTCCTTCTTCCTTCCCTCTCTCCCTTCCATTCTCCTTGCTTTCTCCTGTTCTTCCTTCCTCCTTCCTTTCTCCTATTCTCTTCCTTTTGTTTTCATTCCTCCCTCCTTTTCTCCTTCCCTCCCTCTCTCCCTTCCATTCCCTTTCTTCTGATCTCCTTCCTTCCTCCCCTTCTCTTTCCTTCCTTCCTCGCGCTCTTCCTCCTTTTTTCCTTCCTTTCCTCCCTCCCTCTCTCCCTTCCTTTCTCCTGTTCTTCCTTCCTCCTTTCCTCCTTCCTTCCTCCTATTCTCCTTCCTTCTGTTTTCATTCCTCCCTCTCTCCTTTCCATTCTCCTTCCTTTCTCCTGTTCCTCGCTTTCTCCTTTCTCCCCCCATCCCTTTCTTCCCTCTCTTTCCCCCACAACATAACAACTCTCAGCTGGGTGGGGCTGTGTGAGAGTGACTGACCCAAAGTCACCCATCCAGCTTTCATGCCTATAAGGCAGGGCTAGAATTCCCACCTCCTGGTTTCTGCACCCAAAGGGCTCTCAATTGCCTCCCTTCCACCCTCTCTTCTCCCCACTGAATCCTCTTCCCCTGTTGTCCCCCCCAAAATAACTTTTTTCAAGAGACAACTGGATTTTCTTATTATTATTTTTCCTTTGAAGATGTTTTGCTTCTCATGTGAGAAGCTTCTCAGCTCTGACTGGATTCTGGGAAGGATTTAGTATAAATGACCAGCTGTCTGCAAAAAAAGTATAAATCCTTCCCTTTCCCACCGTCCGGTAGAGCTGAAGAAGCTTCCTGGATGAGAAGGGAAATGTCTTCAAAAGAAAAAAAAAACAGAAAGACCGGCTGCCTCTTGGAAAACGAACACCTTTGGGACAACTGTGGCCTGGACTGGAGGACTGAGAACCTCCTCCGTCGGTAGACCTTCAGCCCGTTGTCGCAGGGCACGCCCTGTAGACCAAAGGCCTTCAAACTTGGCAAGTTAAATGCGACATGGGAGAGGTGGTGCGAATGGGTGAAGGATAAGGATAAAAATAATGTATGGTCACAAAAGAAGAAACATGTATATACAGTGACACAAGAACTGTTAATGGAAATGAGATTTTGGTATTTTTTGATTTTAAAGAATAAAAATTAAAAAAAAAACTTGGCAAGTTAAAGACTTGTGGACTTCAACTCCCAGAATTCCTGAGCTAACATGGATGGAGGAGGAATTCTGGGGAGTTGAAGTCCACAAGTCTTAAAGCTGCCAAATTTGAAGACCCCTGCTCTATTCTCCTATTCTATTTCTATTTCTATTTCTATTTCTTATTCTATTCTCTATTCCAAGGGTCTTCAGACTTGGCAAGTTTAAGACTTGTGGACTTCAACTCCCAGACTTCCTGAGCTAACATGACTGGAGGAGGAATTCTGGGAGTTGAAGTCCACAACTGTTAAAGCTGTCAAGTTTGAAGACCCCTGATTCTATTCTATTCTATTCTATTCTGTTCTGTTCTATTCTATTCTATTCTATTCTAATTCCAATTCTAATTCTAATTCTAATTCTAATTCTATTCTTATTCTATTCTTATTCTTATTCTAGTCTCGATTCCAAGGGTCTTCAAACTTGGCAAGTTTAAGACTTGTGGACTTCAACTCCCAGAATTCCTGAGCTAACATGACTGGAGGAGGAATTCTGGGAGT